AAAAAAAAAAACAAACCCTTAACATTTATGATGAGTAATCTTTTAAGTCTAGTTTCTTTCCCTCATTATTTAGCTCCATGTGAGACTGACATTTTTGTGTTTAGTTCTTGTTCACCCATTTCCATTGCTGTATAGAATTCCAGAGTATTGTCAATACCCTTTGGCCACAGAGCATCAGGAACACACCTGTAGTTGAAAAGAGCTGTATTTTCTGACTCCAACAAGGGAGATTGCATACCACAGAGAATCATGGGGAATCACAGTAAGAGGGTGTCGGAAAGGACTTAGAGTATTTAGTCTTGTGCAAGGTGATCTGGGGTGCTATGAAGAAGGACTTTACTCTGGATGGGATGCTATAAGCAATGGAGTTGATACTATAGTTGGGTGTATTAATAATTCTTATAATTATCTTATATCTTATATAATTCTTATATCTTCTCTATAATTCTTACATAGAAAAGCAGAAAGGAGAAGGTATATCTGTGATTGGCAAACAAGCTGTGACTGGTAAATCATTTTAGCACAGAGGGATATTTGATCATTTTTGTGGACTGGACAGTGTTCTTTTCTGTCTATATTCAGGCATGATTAAGGTGTGTTCTTGTTTTAATTTTGATCTATCACATTACACAGCCTCGTGTAATGCTGGTGTTCTATGAAATTGTTTTCGTTCAACAGGAGAACACCATGGCCCAGCCTGGAGTATCAGGGCTGCTAGCAGTCAGGCATTGCTTTTGTCTTTTTCAGTATGAGTGCAGCAAAACTCATTTACTCATTCTATTGTTCTACTATTCACAGCAGCGTGCCCTTCTATATGTCACCTTGTAGACTTGTGTACATAATTTGGGGGAGGGGACATATACCTAGAAGAGGCATTGATGTCATAGGGTATGTTCTTTTTCGCTTTACTTCATATTGCCAAACTGCTAAGAGGTTGTACCAATTTATACTCTCATCAGCAGTGTAACCTCCAGCTGTGCAAATTCTTACCAACACCTAGCATTACTCATCTTTTAAAGTTTAACCATTCTTGCTCTCCCAGTGTGGGTTTAATTGCATTTCTCTGATGATTAATTACTGATGAGGCAGGGCACTATGTAATATGTCTTTAGTCACCTGGTTATCCTTTGGGTGGGGGGACGGTTGTTCAGTTCTCTTGCCCAGTTTTTACATTGAATCTCTTATCTTTTTTCTATTGATTTGTAACTCTTCATATATTCTGAATATGAATCCTGAATATCTCTTTATAAGAAAATGAGACATATTTACCCTTAGTTGATATATATCTACAGAATTTTTGTTTAAAAAGGCAATATTTCTCCCAGTGTTTCACACATTATGTGAAAACTTATGGCCTCCTAGGGAATCTTTTCAAAAACTGAGATACAATTGACATGCAACATTATATTAGTTTCAGGTGTACAACATAATGATTCGGTATTTGTATGATTATGAAATGATCACCCCAGTCAGTCTAGTCAACATCTATCACCATATGGAGTTACAATTTTTTTTTTGTAATGAGAACTTTTAAAAATTTATTTTAATTCCAGCCAACAGTTATATTAGTTTCAGGTGTACAATATAGTGATCCAACAATTCCATACATCACCTGGTGCTGAGAACTGTTTTACCATGCAAAGTAAAATACGTTTACTTGCCATCTTTAATTCTTGTTAGGTGAAGTGTCTGTTAAGGTCTTTGACTCAACATTTAGTTTGTTTATTTTCTTGTTGAGTTTTAAGAATTTTTTGTATATTTTAAATATATATTAATCTTGCTTATTTATCAGATATGTCTCTTGCAAATATTTTCTCCTAACTTGTGATGTGTGTTTTTGTTCTCTTGAAATTGTCTTTCACAGATAAGAAATTTTTAATTTTAACGAAGTCAAGCTAATCAAGTATTTCTTTCATGGATCATGCCTTTGGTATTGTACCTAAAAATTTATCTCCACGCTCAAGTTCATCTAGATTTTCTCCTATCTTCTAAGAGTCTTATTGTTTTCTGTTTCTATTTTACTGTAAGATCCAGCAGTTGCTCTCCTTGTTATTTACCCAAAAGATATGAAAACTAAGGTCCATGCAAAGCTCTGCACACAGAGGTTT